TTCCAAAAGTCACACATTGGTGTGTATTTCCCTCCTACCACTTTAGGAATCTACTCAACCTGTAACTCCATCACTACCTACTTTAGCTTTGTTTTATCAGCTTGTTTATGCTTCTAATCTGGGAGGCAATTAGAACCAAAGCAACATTTAAAGATATTCCTCAACAAATTGAAGTATAAATTTATATGAAAATGTTTCAGAATCAGTTCATTAAGAAAGGAGACTATTCCTGCCATCCGTGGTAATTGTCTCAGACTCCTAGAAGAGCTGATGGCAAGGCACAAACCCTGTATGCTGAGAGGCAGACATCAGTAAAAGGTGAGATCAAAGGGGCTGGCAAAGCTCTTTAGGAGGGTGACACCTACCTTACCTTTAAACCCTTTTTTCTAATTGCTGCTCAGCAGAGCCATTTCCTCAAGAGAAGCACCAAAATTGTGTAGGGGTGTCTGTTTGCCCAAGTGTATTCAATGTTGTGGCTCAGTGCTGCTAGAAGGCATCCCCTAGAGCGGGGAACTTCTGCCCACCACTACAAAACCAAACATACAAGGCTGGCACTGAGTATCTGTATCACACTGCAAAACCCAAAGTAAGCAATTTCCTTACTTCAAAGGAAGAAAAAAGGAGACACTATATGGTAGAAATCCTGTGCTTGAAACAGCCTGCAGTTTTACAACCAAGCAGTAGGTCTGTGTGTAAATTTAACTGTCAAAGTCGTGTACAATTTAATCAGTCCACATAAAAAGTCTGAGAATGCCACTTTATTGACTACTCAGTAAATGCAGTGTGCATTACAGGAGAGAGTCTTGTCTTACATCCTGGGGATAATGTCACTGGTTTGGGATTCATAAATGAGGTCTGTACAGGAAGAAGGGATTATGTCAGCAATGCGAGAATTCACCACAAGGAATATTTACAAGCTATAAATCCAGTTGTTAATTTCAGGTTATCAAAACCAATCACTGTATCTCAGTTCTCAAACAACATCTGATCATCATCATCATCACACCAGCAATCAGCCACTGCAGAATGAACACACAGTGAAGCTGAGTTTCCTTAACTGTACTGCACTCATTTCCTTCACTAAACRTTGAATTGCAACCTCAATTAACAAGAAATTTCTTGCTTAGGCAAGAATGGGGGTAGGAGGGGGAGAGTTCTTCAAGATGGCCATGGAAATATATGCTCAGCTTGCAGGAAGCAGAAATGTGTTTGTAATTTGCAACAGGAGGGAAAATAAAAGGCCGAAAAGAAAGATTGATTCCAGTTTTCAGACTATTAAATCAATGTCAACTTATCAAATCCTTGTATTTCCTGGAATGAGAACAAAGGTAACATAAATGAATATGCCTCCAGATTTGTGATCTGTTTACAGTTATATTGTGCACTTATTAACAGTATGACTATTCAACCACAATTAGAAAGACTACTATAACTTTTTATTAAATTTAATGTGTAAATTTTGCACTTAGAGAAGTAATAAACAAAAATCGATCTCTACAGAAGCTGTTCAGACAAGAACACTCCAGACTTTACTACCAACAGCTGTACTGAAATACTTCTACAACCACAGCATTCAACATCCCAGCTGTTCTAATCCAACACACCATGCAGCTCAAACGGTACCTCGCAATCTTCTTGCGCAGCACCATCTCCCAGTCATAAATTCTGAGCTTGTATTTTATGTTAGATTTATGCATCTGCTTTATGACACTGCAATTCCATTGTCTTCACATGGAGCCACTGCCGGTTCATCCAGATATGACAGGAGAACATAGCCTGTAGAGCCCTAAAATGGAGAAAGACCTATCCAATTTTTAGGACTTGTGCTTTTTCCACATCACAAGTTTGCAAATCACTGCAACAAAGCAGCTCATATCAGCCCTTTGCAACATAAGAAAACTGCTGTTTGGATGTCAGTGTGTTCTGTTCTGAGTCATGTAAAAGATAAATTTTCCTCTTTYTTCTCGTTCTCATTTTGTTTTGCACTAATTATATTTTGTTGTCTCAAGTGACATAATGCTTATGCATCTTTGGGGATAATAATTTACAATGCTTTTCATTTGTCATTTTGATGAGAGATTGGCTGGCTTGAAGAAATAGGTCAATTCTAACATAAGGATTATCATTGAAAATSAGCTGTCAGAGGCTCTATTTAATTTATTCTGACCTCATATCACAAAAAGCAACAGGAATCCTTCTTGAAATACAAGGATAGCTTTGGCATAATTCCAGCAATGACAAAGACATTTTGATCAGTGGCTACGTATATTCTTTTTGCAATGAAACTGGGTGTGTCATCACAAACATCCGACAAATTATTGTGTGATGCTTATTCTTCTCAGCCTCTTCTTCATAGAATAGAAGCCAGCAGATTTTGTCACAGTATTAGGCACACAAATGTGTTTGTTGTGTTTGTTCATTTACCCTTAATGGGAATGTCCAGTAATACAATGCCAACCAGAACGTTTGTCTGGGGCCTGGGCAGTGTGGAGAGAGTTGCTGCAAACATTTCTTCTTTACTTCTCCAAGTTACATGCTGCTGTAGCTCTGTATGCTTGAAGATCGTATTACTTTAAGAAAAAAAAGTAATCCTTTGAAAATAGTGATAAAAGCTTAGTGGGCAACAAAAAAAAAAAAAAAAAGGGGAAAAGCCCAAAGAACAGGAAAAAAAAAAAAAAAACAATGGGGCATAGCCTCAAGAACAGGACAAAAAAAAATGCTACTGAATATACAGAAAGTTACAAGCACATCTGGAATTGTTCTGGTCTAAAAGGGAAACACACTCAGAGAAATTGAAAAAAAAAAATCACAGTTGCTTATTTAGAGAAGAGATTAATAAGAGGCGTACAAGAAAGTTTCCTAAAACATACAGTGTCAAGCGAAACTGATGTTCCACTCCTCCCAGGAGGTTGGAGAACATTACCCAGTATACAAATTCAGCATCATTAAAAGAGGTGCTTCATTCCAGGAGACTTTGCTGTAGTGCTTTTTTGCTCGTGCCATCAGTAATATGTTGTGCAAAATGGGCTGGATGTTTGTCCATATGGAGAGAACAGGAGATATAAGTGAGTAAGAACTGGGAATCAAACCAGAGGATAGGCAGATGTAAACATTCTGTATCTAAATGCATATCAGCCTCTAACGATTTGGAGGGCAGATGAACCCTTCCATGGAAGGAGATTTCTCTGTAACCATCTCCACAACTGAATTTCTCCTACTTTCCTCTGAAGCAGGTTGAAATGTTGTGATTATGGGGTGCTTAGATTCTGTATTGCCTACAATTGTTACTTCTATAAAACTGAAGTACATGGCAGGTTACAGATAACAACCATTCCTTGGTGTGTGAAGGGAGTTGTACTGGAGAAGGGGAAATGGTTGCAAGAAGAGGAAGTTGAGAGAACAAGTTCTACAGCTTGATAATGGAATTTCTGAGGAAGTGACGATTCAAACTTTGTAAGATTTACCCTAATTGTACACTGATGCCCATCCACTTGTCTCCCTTCACACCAGTGCATCCCTGCAGACATCATGGGATCAGGACATGCCTTCCCATGGCTGCTCTACCCCATGCTACTCTAAATACTATTTGGAAAAGGTACCAGCTATTCAAGACTGGGACAAGTCAGCAGATGATGTCTCTGCCTTTTTTTACTGTGTGTACTGCTGGGATGAGGCCTGACAGAGAAGATTCTCGTGACTTGAAGGTTGGAGTCTACTGTTGAGTGCCTAAAAATGAAACCAGAACTCATAAAGGTATCAGGACTACACAGCCTTCCTCTGGTTGACTTGCATCTGGTACCTCACATCAAAAAGGAGAGGAACAAGGAGGACCTCCAGCAGTCCTTTCTCTCTAGTCTGTCTCCAGCCCAGTTTGCTTAGGCTGCATCCCTGACGGTTAGGCAGAAGAAAGCAAGGCACAGGATTACATGAAGTCAGACCGCCTGTGGGGGTGGAGCGGGCAGAGAAATGAAAGAATATTTAAAATAAACAAATACACATCCCAGGAAAAACGCTTCCCAAGAATCTGCAGAGAACTGCCTGTAATCAGTTAATCAGCATAATTGTTTCTAATTAGGCTCCAGAGGCACATCACAAACATTGCAAGCTTCACAGAGAATTGAGTAGGGGTCTGGGGAGCACAGAAAGGAAAATGTTTCCAATGCTCTATTAATGACAATCATAACTCTCCACACAGCGAGGGAGGCTTCTCRTCTAATTAGAACCATTCTTGCTGAAATGGGAGGCGACATGATTTGTGAAAAAGACACCCTCAGCATGTAATTTTCTATGTAACAAATCTAGAAAGATGGATGCTCTTTGATCTCGATTCTCCTGTTATTGCTGTTCACACTGGGAAGGGCGCTTTAATGAAACAATCTCAAGGTAATTTACCGCCTTTGAAGTCCTGAAATGTGCTGCCAACAAAATTTCTGGTTTAGTGGAGGCTGCTGCAGCAGTCACTCCGGGTTGCTTAATGGAGCACCAAAACTGGAACATCAAGACATCAAAGGTGAAGGTGCCATGTGATTAATMAACTAAGCTATTCATTTGTTTCTGCCTCAGAGGCAATCTGACAATTTATTGTCACTAGCTAATTTACACTTTGTGAGTACTTGCTCTTGCTAGTTATGCTGCCTATAGAACAAGATAAGTGATGTTTACATGAAGAAGGGAGGAGAATAGACCCTTTCTAAATCTGGGAAAAGAGGTGAGGAGAGGGGAAGGAAAGATGTTTTCTGAAATGGTTGTGGAAGCAACCCAGACTCCCTAATTTTAGAGAGGGGAAGCTGGACCACGGGGACTAATTTCTACAATATTTCCTCCCCTCCCCCTGCCTTCTTGACCATCTCCTTGTTTACACGCTGTTGCCAGGAAGCAAATCCCAATTAAAAGTGGATTACAAGGCAATGAAACAACGTTATTATGACGGAAGAGTTACACCAATGCATTTCTATTTAATTTGATGGCTAAGCCAAGGGTTTCAATGAGACTGTGCTACAGAAGGTGAGTCTTACAAAGCTCTTTTGACGATGGSGGTTGCAGTCAGTCTTGGCCTTGGAGATAGGATTGTGCCTATCAGCTTCTGTCTTCAGCAATAAAACCAAGTCCCTCATTGTGTATTGGAAAGGCAGACACCCAGTCAAACAGGACCTCGTTGCCTTGAGAAAACCTGCAGTGAAATGAAACAGCCTGAAAGAGAGGACGGAAAAGATGCTTTCACAGTGAAAGTGAATGTTTGAGATAACGTGTGATTACTTCTGTGATTGTTGTTTCTTCTGCCTCCACTCGTAATGAGCCACACCTTTCTTTCCAAACAGTTGAAAGCACAGGCTCCTAGGCTCATCCATACTGCCCCGTTCTCATGCAATAGTGAGGAAAAGAAAAGAATATTTCTGTAAGAGCACTGGGGCTGTAACTGGGACGTGGAGTCTGAAATAAGGAATTTGAGGGATGTGAAATGGGGATTCCTGAAGGGCAAGGAGACACGGTTTAGATCTGCAGCTGAACTCTCACTCCTGGTTCCTGAAAAATGCCCTTTCCCCAGGAATGCCGCTAGGGAACTGGCTGCCAGTCTCACTTTCTTTCRCAAAGAGCAAGGGACATCCAGTGGAAGGCATGCAGCCCCGCTTTCTAGACTCAGTGTTAGAGGCTTCCAAAACTTCAGGCTATGAGGAGTTCATACTGAAGGAATTTGGTCTGATGAGTGTAAAATGGCTGAAAAACTGTATCGAGACACCTTCATGAAATTTATGTTCAGTATCAGCTTCTCAATCTTCTCTGAAGAATGGGAATGGCTAGATTGAAATTCACCTCAGAAGTCTCAATTTTGCAAAATTAGGATGCAAATCTCAGGTCAAAGAAACTCAGGTTCCAARTACACAAACCTGATGATGGCTTTTTTTGAAGCCCTGATCCACCCTGTCCTGTGGCCCACATCTGTGCACATCACGAYAGCTATTTTCAGAAGAGGACCGTGTGGTGGCTGCATGGTGTACGGGATGTACAGTGGTGTGTCCACAGGGATGTTGCCCAAGGCTTGCACCCGGTCTGGCAGATATCCCACGGTCCTTGAACACATGCCAGCATGCTCRAAAAAGTCACACCTTGGCTCTGCTCATGAGCAGGAGACACAAGGCATCCGAGGATATCCTACCACACCCAGGTATGGAGCACAGAGGAGCCAGACAAACTGGTTACACAGGCATGGTTAGGTGGTCTTGAACTCATAGCAAAAAATAATGTGCCAAACCAGTTTATAGGAAGATATCCATGTGCCAGGCAACGATGTCACAACTACTAGCCAATATTAACCACATTATGTGTGGGCACCAAGCGTATTTATAGTCAACCTTTTCATGAACTGGTTATAAACTCGGTTCATAGTGGAAATGTAGGCAGGGCCTCCTGGGCTATTTTTGGTCCCTAAATGAGGATAGAGATATGAAGAGAACGCCCTCTTTGATAGCACATTGCTTTCAGTTCTGGGTGGAAGGGGAAGTTCAGAGGTATGTAAAGCTGAAGAACAATAATAATAAAAAAAAATAAACTAACAAACTACTATCAAACCTGTGAAAGATACTGTTTTGTGTGCTCCTGAAGCTGGAGGCAATGACTCCAGTCTGGCTTCTTTATGAATCCCTATCTTCTTTCTCTAAACTTTTCTGGGGCTTGTGGTTGCTCTGGTTCTTTGCACTAGCAAAGAATGATTGTAGTTTGCCTTTTTTTTTTTTTTTCCCCTTCCTTTTTTTTTTCCCCCCTCCTTCTTCTCCTCTGGGGAGGCAGGAGGGGCACAGGGAGGGAAGAGAGAAAAGAAGTCTCATCTTGCTTTATGGGGGTTAACATGTAGCATCCTGGCTCCTGTCACTAAGAAGCATGATAAGACTTCAAAGAGTACAGTGCAGGGCAGATACAGGCAGGCARCAAGGGAAAAAAAATGGGGCTAATAAGAACCTTGTAAAAAAAATAAATAAAAATAAAACAATCCCCCCCCTCCACAGAAAAGAAAGGCTAATGAGCCACCSAGATCATACAGATCATATATGATACAGTTGCTGTCTGTCCTAAATAGTCTCCTTTTATTAGCAGGTTTAGAGGACCCCAGACAGCGGCAAAATATTATCTGAGGTCCATAGCCATGGGCATAGAGCAAGGAAAGTGAATTTGAAGACCTAGCTACATCTGGAGTTTATCAGCTCTTTTCCTGGCTAGTATTACAGTAAACAATTATCTGTAGATCAGGAGACTGCAGGGACTTTAAAGACCCAAATTACAGAGAAAGGGAGAGAGGGAAGGAGAATACAAGAGATAAAAAGGAGTCTATGCATCTTATCGTACTAATGAAATCAACCTGACAATCATGGCAGGCTGCAAGGGTATTACACTGTCTGGTATTAAATGAGCAGTTACAGCACAGGCTCCTGTGTCAAACAGCAAATAGACACGAAAGAAAAGAAAAACTTACCGCTACATCAAGGCAAGTGATTTATGAGGAGTAGTTAGACAGCTGGTCAGTTTGAAAACCTTCTCAAGTGTGTTGTCAGGAAAAGAGCGGATTCAAATGCTGCGATTAGCATTTCAAGGATCAGGGAATGATCTGCAGCACAACAACAACAACAACAAAAAGCCCTAAAACACAATTAATGAGGAAACAGCAAACGCCTGCAGCTGTTGTGCTGCTTATGTGCTGAGGAACAATCACCTGTTGCAAAGGCAGGACTAATGCAGCTTGTTCTATGGACAAATTTGACTAATTTCCACTGTTTTGAGTCTTAATGCCCTTGTCTACCGTAACCTCTGTTGGGTTGCTAAGAAAGGCAGCTCTTCCAGCAAGTAGCTGGAAGTATGCTGTCTAGARTACACAAAATTTGATCTCAAAAAGCTGTTTTTCCCAAAATGCTGCAAGTAATACAGCTGTGGGCCAGGCACAGCTCGAAATGTTAAAGCATATTGTAGTTTTATAAAGGCCTAGTGTGTACAATACTAATCCTCAGGACTTTCCTTTTTTTGTTGTTGTTATTTTCATCAAGGTATTTTCTTGGGTTTTCAAATAGATACAAGTAATTCTATAGCCTAAATAAATAAGTTCTCCAAGTTTTTAGAATGTCTTCCTGAGATACAGTGGGAGAACAATGAACTTAATATTATTTATTATAAGTAAGGTTTCACAAATTCACTTGCAACACTGTATAAATTGATTAAGGAAAAGACATGGATCATTTTTTAATGTAAAAGCTTGCACTGACCTGAAGAACAGGGGAACAAGAGAAATGATCATGAATCTCTCATTTCRAAAAGGAGAATTTGCACTGAATCAATTCCCAAGTGCTTACACTTGGTTTTGTTTTTAYTTTCAAATCTACACAATTTTAATTAATATGAAAAGGACTGAAAAAAGCCCTTTTAAACAATTTTTGCAGAATGTTAATAGTAAGCAAATTCCTTGATTTTTTTGCTGATGTGAGGAACTCAAATATCGAAGTCAAATATCTCCTCAACACTAACCACTGTTTAGCTCCCAGGAGAGAATTATGTCAGGAAGGGAACCAGGCAGCACTGAAACTTGACTCTGACTCTTCTGCTTTGGGTACTGACCCTTCTGGTTGCTCTGATGAAGCCAAACCTGGTACCCACAACCAGACCCAGAGTCCGGAAGCATGTCTGAGATCTATCATTCTCCAGGTCTGATYTGTGGTTAAAGGATACGTAAAAACTGAGAGGTTTTGAATCTAGAATCATGGGTTTTAGCTCAACAGTCCATTTCCGGAGCAGAAGAATTAGCCAAGGGTTTCAAACAACACATATTTTCTAACAACTGTTTTGAAAGACCAGTAATATATATTAGCCAATTCTGAACAGCGAAGAAAAAAATGAAGAACTTAAAAAAAAGAAAAAAAAAAAAAAGAGAGAGTAAAAAAAAATCGTAATTCTTTTATTTGTTCCTCCAGTTCTTCTAGTTGGTGAAAGATTGGCAGGATTACCAAAACTCAGGTTCAAGTGTTGGGTCTCAAAAAAAAAAAAAAAAAAAAAAACCACATTGATAGAAAATTGTTGTGTTCAAAGGCAGATATCCCCTAGCAAACCAGAGTTCTCCACAGTTCACGTGTCTCTTCTTGAGATCCTGTAACAATTTGGCCTACATGATATATGCACCCAAAGAAAGCTTTCCCACCTTCATGGGATCTTGGCTGAAGCTTTTCCCTATTAATCACCATGAAATTAAGACCATCAGTGTGTTCAATTCTTGTGCTGCAGACACAGAAAAACTGGAATAAATTTTTCAAAAAAAATTTTATGGAAAGATCCCACTTCTTTCCCCTCAGTCTATTTGACAGCAAAACCAGTGTCAGGTCTGTGCCAAGCAGAACTGCAAAAATCTTATGAAGGAAAAATGCATCTGAGAACACAAAGTGAAATCAGAAGGGAAACTTTATTTCTAAAGCTCTCTTGAGATGGAGCCAAAGATCAACAAAGCGTAAAAGGTCTTTGTGAATTGGTGGGAGGGGGGTACATCTTTTTTGCTACAGGCATGAAGGCCCTGTAACAACTCTCCTGACTAATAAATGCTGTAATCCTATAATTGCCACTTACATATTTGTACATATAAGACCAAATGTAGTTACTTTTTCCAGTCAAACCAGGAAAAATAAAGACAGTTAATTAATTGTTCATGTGGAAGAGTGAGAAAGGATACCTTCACAGCTACTGCCTCACTGAGACTTGAACCTCAGTAATCACTTAGAAAGTGGAATGATCCAGGGTAAATTGTTAACCAAAGATTCATTTTTGAGGTGGGAAAAAAAAATCGATTAAATCTGAAAGTTATGAATCTGGGAACCTCTGATTGTTCTAGTGCCACCTGGGATGAAAAGCCAAAGTAGGATGTGCCAGCAGGTCACTTTTATTGTTCACCAGCACATGAGGGGTCCCTATGACCATGGGAAGATGGTGAAGGCTGAGGTGCTCCACTCCATGCTGGTTTGCAGTGTGATCTTCATGTCACACTGAAGGCGTTGCAGTGCCCAATGGTGTCCCTTGAGGCTAGGACAGTTTTCTGAAGATGTCCAAGACTGTTTGGCCCATCATGCTGACAGATTCCAAGCCAGCTGGGCTACCTTAGGAAGTTCTGCTTGTACTTTTCCATTGTTCCTCTGTCTAGATGTGTAATTCTGGTCTTGTTTGTGTCATGGGAAGATGTTGTTCTCTCTAATAGGATTTTAAAAAGTAACATTTTGTTTGAAGAGAAAGGGAAGAAAAAAAGCAAGTGACAAAGAACACTAAATTAGTGTTGCTCAAGATGTTTATTTACACTGTAAGATTAGTAGTTCGAGTATTTCAGTTCCCATTCTCTTGGCTAAAATCTCTTTTTTATTATTATTATATTTTATTATTATATTTTTTCATTTTATTATTATTATTGTTGCACAATTATTATATTATTGCACAATTGCTAGAACCTACCGTTTAAGAATAAATAATACCACACTAAGGCTTCTTAATGGACTCAAATTATCTAAAGGACAAAGAACCAGATTCTCTGGCTTAAACTTCTGGCTAAACTGTATGACTCAGAGTCATTTAAAAGGAACAGGAGAATGCATTTCCCTGTGCTCTGGGGTTTTTCTTTTGGGGAAGGGGTGATGAACGTCCCCCCATGTGATAACGTCCCCCCAGCACAAGGGACAGCAGGGGAATGCGTATGTGGTGCTGAACCCGATAGCATTGAGCATGGCACGGATGCAAAAGTATAGAAAGTGGGGGGAATGGAGAAATCGAGAATACATTTGCTTTGGAGAGGATTTGTTTTGATACGGATGGCCCTAATTGCTTTGGCAAACATGCAGGACTAACTTCTTAATTGGTATAAATCAAGAAGAGTGTAAACTCATTTGTTTTACTGGGACTGTGTCTATTTATAGCAGGTCAGGACCATATCCACTGTTATGATGTTATAAGAGTATGAGGCAGATATGTCATGAAGTTCATTTTCTAGGCTTGTGTTTTAAGTGTTGGATTTAATGAACTCATAAATGATGATAAAGGGTTAGTAAACAACAGCTTTTTTTGTCATACAAGGCAGACAGTTCAAAGCAATTTTCTGCAGTAGACAGCACCTGATGAAGTTATTTACTCAGTAACTCAGGTCTCCCAAAGCAAAACATCTGTTGCAAGTATTTTCTTCTCTCTGTCTCTCATCTTCTTATTATTTAATGGTTTACATCTCTTTCTCTTTATTTAATGGTTTACATCTCTCTCTATTTTTTTCTTTCTTTTTTTTTTCCCCTGAGGAAGTTGTCAGTGAACTTTTTTTCCAATTTCCCAGGCAGATATATTTTCATATGATACACCCCATGGTTGTGAATGTCACGTCTTACTGTTTGACATAATGCCTCAAAAAAAGACACACCGCCCTGGGGGGCAGAGGTGTGGAGAAGTGATTCTACTTCTTCAGCAATCAAGTTTAAATAAAACAGCTTAAAAATATCCATATAATGTTCTGCGCAAAGCTCTTCCTAACCACAAGCAAGATGAAGGGCAGKCTAGTTTCCTCCTCGTCCCTCTGCTCTTCTTGTTCTGCAGAGGAATGAACGGAGAGTGAGGCTTGCAAATCCAGCATCAAAGGCACAGCATCTATCATTGGTCTCTTTTTTTATTAGTGAAAGTGCATCTGGTTGGTCCTAAAGCCCAAAAGAGCTTTTTTTTTAATTATTTCTAGTTCTTTTTTTTTTTTCTACATTGATTATATCCAAATTTGGATTGTTCTAATGCTCCAGGGAGGAATCAGAGCTGCTCAGCTGTTTCAGAATGGTAAAAGCACACTACAGCTGGAGGTGCTCTTGTTGGACTGAGATAGAAAAACAAGGCCTGACCACTTAAAGTCATTAAAATCCCAGGACAGTTCTCTGAAGATTAATAATAGCAGCCCTGGAGGAGGAGGATTTGACAGCTTCATGCAAACTAAATTGCATTCTGTCTGCCACAAACCCCCTTGCAGTTTCAATTGGATTTGCTTCTCCTTTTATTCACTTCCTCTCTTGGAATGTGGTCATATGTTGCTAAACAGAAGATATGTTGCGCCCCAGAGGTGATTGCATTCCAGCAAAAGGTAAAGTGATCCCTTTGTACCGCCTGTGCACAAAGACCAACTCCAGTTGCAAGGATTCTAAATTAAATCAATGGATTCTGCAGGAGCAGGATACAGTCCTCCATCTGCCAAGTACTCTGTATAGCCTGAACTAAAGAGATCTCAGGGCCAGGATGCCAAACACTCCTAAATTTGTGGCAAACCAGAGGAATTCTCTAAAGTGGAGTGAACTATAATATTAGCAARCTGAAGAGATAAGTGGATACATGGTAATCTGTTAATTGGAAGGTTTTCCCCAAAGGGCACTCACCTTACAGGATCCCCACTCTAGGGAAACAGTAGTTGGARCAAGGGGGAATTTTCCAGGATTTGGAAAATGTGGGCAACAGCACACCAAAACAGAAGAAAGATGAAAAAGAACAGAAAAATTAACATCAACAAAGGATAGGAGTCATTTTATGCTTGGTTTTGAAGCCTGCAGAACTGAAATCCTCTTGGGTCAGAATGACTGGGTGCGGGG